GCAGCAGCAGCAGCAGCAGCAGCAGCTGGTGGTGGTGGTGGTGGTGGTGGTGGTGGTGGTGGTGGTGGTGGTCAGGCCCTGCAGCAGCAACGACAATCGGTAGAGCAGAAGAAAAAGTAGCAGCACTGTTATTTTTTCGCTTGGATAGTTGTTGATTTCAAGGGTTTAGGGTTTAGGGTTTAGAGTTTAGGGTTTAGGGTTTAGGGTTTAGGGTTTAGGGTTTATGTGTGCAGATAATGTCGACTGTCTCCTTATACCACCAGGAGAAATACCGCTGGGTACTAACCAGAGAAAACGGAGTCTCCTATGAAATCACAACAGCATAGTTTGCTGCTGCTGCTGCTGCTGCTGCAGCAGCTGCTGCTGCTACTGCTGCAGCAGCAGCAGCTTCTGCAGCTGCTGCTGCAGCTGCTGGTGCTCCTGCTGCTGCAGCAGCTGCTGCTGCTGTTGCAGCTATCCAGTCGTTCGCTTCCATTGTTGCTCCCGTAGCAGCTACAGCAGCAACAGCAACAGCAGCAGCAGCAGCAGCAACGAAGCACCTGTGTGTTGCTGCGGCTGCTGCTGCTGCTGCTGCTGCTGCATAGAGAAGAGTTTATTTACTCTTTTAGAACTTCTAGGGGCCCCAAAGGGGGCCCCGGATGTTTTCAATGGGCCTGGGGGCCCCCAAAGGGTACTGCGAGGCGGGGGGCCCCCAAAGGGTACTGCGATACAGGGGGGCCCCCAGCGCCAGTATGGGGGCCCCCAACGCTGTTTGTTTAGGGTTTTTAGCTGCCTAGGGTTTAGGGTTTAGGGTTTAGGGTTTACGGTGGTTTGTTTTTCTTAGTAATAGAAAACTCTTCTAGGGTTTATACAACCATACACTCTGCCTGGGGGAGGGTTTAGGGGGCCCCCAACCTGAGCTCTTGCTGCTGCTGCGGGGCCCCCAGGGGCCCCATACTTTATATTTCGCAGCAACACAAGTCTCAATAGGGGGGTGCAAGCAGCAGCAACAGCAGCAGCAGCAGCAGCAGCAACAGCGGCAGCAGCAGCAGCAACAGCAGCAGCAGCAGCAGCAGCAGGTTGGCGGGCTTCCTGCACAGTATGTCTGTCTCCACAGGACAGGTACTTGTGTCAGCAGCAGCAGCATCAGCTGCAGCAGCAGCAGCAGCAACAGCAGCAGCAGCAGCAGCAGCAACAACAGCAACAGCAACAGCAGCAGCAGCAGCAGCAGCAGCTGTGTTTTTGTCTGTACACCTCAGGGCGGCCTGTTGAGGTGTACGGGGTTTGTATTGGGGTGTATGCGAGACCCCCTAAACCCTAAACCCCTAAACCCTAAAACCCTAAACCCTAAAACCCTAAACCCTAAACCCTCAAAACCCTTATCATTTTTTTCTTAGAAACAAAGACAAAGACAAACACAGCCAACCCACCCAACTGTCTCTTTAATTCTCCTTTTCTTATAGAAAGGGTTTAGGGTTTAGGGTTTAGGGTTTAGGGTTTCTACGTTAAACTACAAAGAAGATATAACTACAGAGCAAACGCTAAGAGGCCGCTCGAGGGGGGCCCCCAGGGGGGCCCCCCTGGGGGGCCCCCAGGGGGGCCCCCTGTGGGGCCCCCAGGCCGCGGCGGCTGCTGGGTGGGGCTGGGGGCCCCAGCCCTGGTTGTGTCAGTCGTAGATTTTTATATAAATATAAATAAAAGAAAGAAAATAAAAAATAAATAAAAAAAATAAAAAATAATTTATTTAGTTTTAGGGTTTAGCAGCGATAGCTGCTAGACAGAGGGCCTCCCCCTTGTTGCAATCGCCATAAGCAACAAACCTGAAAATGGTGTGATTAGGGTTTAGGGTTTAGGGTTTAGGGTTTAGGGTTTAGGGTTAGGGTTTAGGGTTTAGGGGTATATGTTCGACTATGGACGCCTGCGAAGGCTGCGCTCCCTCTAGCTCTTTGTTGTGAAGCGGCTGACCCTCCTAGGGTTTAGGGTTTAGGGTTTGGGGTTTAGGGTTTAGGGTTTAGGGTTTGGAGTTTAGGGTTTAGGGTTTAGGGTTTAGGGTTTTGTGGGGCCTTCAGGTGTCAGTACACCTGCAGGGTCTGACGGAAGATGAGAAACAGGCGA